GACCCTCCCACCTTCAAAAAAGTTTATGAATTGGCATGAAAGTGATGTCGCTCGGTTCAGAAAGAGCGAAAACGAATACCAAATTTCACCGAAAAATATTCACCGGTTTTCAAGATATTAGACTTTTACTTTTGTTTACTTTTTTGGGATCTCCGCTGTTTCTAGCGACTTTATTTTAGAAGTGCGGCGTTTGCGGCAGATGTTGCGCGCAAATAGCATATACCACCGCGTGCTACAAAACGTTTTAGTCAAACATTTAAAAATCGTTAGATATCTGCGCTGACGTCACACATTCAGAGGGGTATTCGGGTATTCCTAAGCATTAGCCCCTCTGAATCAAAATGCTGCAATTTTGAAATTCAATATTTCCGATTTAAGGCATTTCTCGATGTTTTGAGTGCCGAAACCGGTAATTGTGAGCCAGGGACCCCATTTTGGCTATCTCAACTCAAATCTAATGTTAAGGTGGGAGGGTCCCTTTAATTATTCCGAAACCACCAGTGAATTGTCAGTCACTCACAACAATACGAATCAAGGGTGGAGCTTCCTATTCACTTGGTGGGGCGCCTGCCCCACCAACTTGCCATTTTGCCCCACCAATAAGCGTTTTGCCCCACCAACTTAAGCCGATTTGCAGGACTTTACTGCTTAGCAAACCTATGTTTTTCGCATTGAGGAGCTTTGAAATGTCTGTGTAATGCAAAATATTATCTCTGTAATGAAAAGAATTGATTCATTGTTGAATTTTATCTAACTTAACAATCGGACATTGTAGGTTTGACAACTTTTTGCCCCACCAACTTTCCTGGAAAAGCTCCACCCATGATACGAATCGTTCGACGTTCAGTCGTGCGCTGGGCGTCCGCCAAGTTTGAGTGTGCTGCAGAATGCAGACTGGACCGCCGATAATATAACACTTCCGTCTCCCTGGGCGAGCGGCGCATTGGAGCCGAAGGAAACTGCTTCAGTTTTTTGTGGGGAAGATACCCATGTTTGAAAATTATGTTCTGGAATGATGCGATAAGGAAAAGGACGGTTTCTTGAATTGAGGGCTGTGGAGAAGAAGCAGATTTTCTCAGTTGCTACCCGATGCAACGCGAAAAGACGCAAATGCTGCACATTGGGCTTAATAAGTCTAATAAAAGATAAGGGACTTCGTGAATCATGCCTAATTGACCGCGACCCAGTTATTTGCCACTGCAGGTAGGTACTAGGTAGGTAGATACTCATTTGTAAACAGAGCGTTCCACCAACCCTCGCCAGAAATTCAATCAGCAGTTGCTTATCTTAACCCTCGCATGTGTGCGGCGTTTGCCAGCTTCTAATGTGTAGGGGGGTCGGTTGGACCCCCCCCTTGCCGTTTGGCCCCTGGTCGAGCTAGAGCTTCGCGGAAAAAAACGAGCGTGTTGCCCGTGACGAGAGGAAGCCGATGATACCCAATTTTAAGGTCCTAGGTCATTGGTTGACCTTCCAGGTCAGGTCAATGACCCAAAGTCGGGAAAATCGGGACCTGTTAGAAAGTCGTAAAGTGTGGCTGCTAAGGGGTTTTTCGGGGTGCTGATCACGAATATCGTGTTAGTTTTGATCACAGATGATGTCTTGAAGCATTTAGACCAGGTCGGGTCAGGTCAGGTCAGGTCAACCATTAGGCGTCGTGACGGGTATTCGTAGTACGTGTCAACCGCCTCTGACAGCTTCGTAACATGTTACGAAGTCACCAAAACTACTTCGTAAATGTTCAAATGGTTGCTAAATTCGAATTCAGCTCCAAAAACTAGCCTAGAAACATGTAAAACTCGAAAAAGTGACCCGAGGTCACCCGAGGTCACCAAAGGTCAATGACCTGACCTGACCTTCAGGTGACCTTGACACACACGGGAGTAACATCAAATCACATGTTTGAACGTTTGAAACCACGAAAAGCTTGCAAACACGCGGCTAGTGCGAGCCGACATACGCTAAATCGCGATTCCGGCCAAACATGGTCTCGGAAAAGAGGTCACAGGTCAAAGGTCATTTGGGTCAGGGTCATGAAATTTTCAGGGTAGGTGTCAAATTGATCAATGCGAGGGTACTGAAAGTTTCGTCGCGATCGGCCGCTTTTTACGCGAGTTATTCGCGAAAAACCATGGGGGGGGTCCATCCGACCCCCCCCTACACATGCGAGGGTTAAAACGTTTGAGTGCACTAACAACCTTTAAAAATGACGTCCTCCCTTTCAATGCAATGGTTCATTCGAACTTCGAAGACACAAAGCCAGAATCAGCCAAGCAATATCGGAATCCATTGTGCAGTGTGTCGACTGTCGGATGTGCCCATCCACATAGCATAGCACACACTGCTAAATGCAGGTACGCTCACCTACACATTAGGTATTCGAAGGACTCGATAGCTCATACACATGGAAGAAACACATGAAATGTGATGAATAGCTGCAGCAGAAGTTTGGCGTCCGATGCCTCTTCGCCAAGTTAAGACCATGCCAATCTCGGCCAGTCTGCCGCCGCGCCGGCACTGGCCGTGGTGTGACGTCATCCGGCCGGCTCGGCGCTGGGTAGTTCCACACATAGGTAACTCGCCGCCGGGCCGGGGGTGTTTGAACACCCCCCCCTGCGGTTTTTCGCAGATATCTCAAAAATGGCGGCGCTCCGCGCCGCCGTTTTTGGCACACCTGTTCGTGCATCTTTTCCGCACATGTTGTGAAAATTTCAGACCCAGGTCACCTTAGGTCAGGTCACCAGGTCACGCCAAGTGACCTCACCTCAGAAAAAATAAGAATGCTCGTCATAGCTACACCGATTGATCGATTGCCTTGAAACTTTCAGCGATTGATTAGAGCAACATTATCTATAAAATGTATATCTCGGAATTTTGATATCGGTGACCTAAGGTCAGGTCAATTTTGCGACCTCTCCATTATAAGTCAATGGGAGAAAATTGAAAAGCGTCTGTTTTGCACGAACGCCATTCTAGACACTCTCAAACATCGATATGTAGGTAAAATGGACACACTGAACCGGAAAATGGCAACTGTGACCCCTCGTTATGTCCCCGAGGTCATCTCAGGTCACGAACAGAATCTAACAGTTTTTCGCTAATAACTTCTGATAGAGACGTGCTAGAGCGCTGAAAACGCCTTAGATGTGTTCGGCTCGACGCTGCGGATCGACTGATATGCAACATGACCTTTTCCGGTCAGGTCATGACCTTGACCTGAGGTCAAATTTTCAAGTTGACCTTTCAAGGTCAAATTATAGTTCATTCGACGCGTCTCGACGAGTGGAACACGATGGTGGCAAAAGTAATGTCATGGCTCTTTTGAGTCAAAAGTTATTGCCGAAAAAACGTCTTTCGTAAAAACGGCTATTTTTGGAGTTTTTGCCCTCTGGAGGCTAAACCGTTGACCTGAGGTCAAATCTGAGAAAATTACTCAGAAAGGTCTGTAAAAGGGCTATCGAATGCGCTTTACTGCGGCGCTGTAGCTCTATCGGTTCCCGAGCTAGCCGTTGGCAGTTTCCAAAATGTTGAAATAGTGAACATTTGACCTTTGGTGACCTCTGGTGACCTGACCTTTGACCTGACCCAAAAAATGACCGAGGTGTTTTCGTCCTTATTTTAGACGTTCTTTCGATTGCCGCTTACCGCGTGTCGCTACGTGGCCCAGGAGCCGAGTTAGAAGGGGGGGGGTGTTCAGACACCCCCCCCCCCCCGGCCCGGCGCGGAATCTCAGAGCACCGGCCCGGCGCGGGTTAACAAATTTAGCATATTACGTTTGACCTCCAGATTGAGCGAATACGTTTGCACTGCACTTTCGCCTATGTATAATTGCTTCATTGGGCAAGGATGTTCTGTCAGCGAGATTCATTCACTATTTAAATCATGGGTAAGCGTGGATCGTCACGCGTCTTAGGATATGAAGGGTGAGCTATAAATGCCGATAATTAATGGGACTTGCAAACCTTTTGAAGTGCACCAGCAGAAATGTAAACTAATTCAACGATGTAAATATATCGCCTCCCGCCAAGGTCTCAACACCCAGATCAGAGTCAAAGCTTCTTCTAAAACAGCACGCTGCTTAATGCTTATTCCTTATTGTGTTATTATTTGCATCACTTTGAAGTCTAAACATGATCTAATCTAATCGAGAAAATGAAACCATTGGGAAGGATAGTTAATCTGTCGATGGCAAGTAAGGCCCACAAAGCAGGGTACGCCTAATGGCCATATTTATTCACGTTTACTTCTCATCCTGACTCATTCTCTCATTCGAGCAAAACAACTTGTTTCAGAAATGCATTACGATATCCAGCTTGAGCTCACTATGGGTCAGGCCATGGTATTGATCGCAATCCACACCGCACTGCGGACGCATAACCTGGTGGGCGGTGACCGTTCGTTGGTTATGGAGCTTTTAAAACCGCAGTAATGCAGCAAAGTACACATCCAAATGGTGCAAACAAATCGGTGGAGCATGGTTCAATTGTTATCTATGCTGCTCATCTGTTTCCTCATTCTTAGCGTAGCTATAGCACAAGGTATCTCTTTTTACAAACTAAGGCCGAAGCCCGAAACCTATAGTGTAGCTATGCCAACTTGTCAGAGGAAATCATATTTTTATGCAAAAAACTATAGCAAATTTTTGTTCAGCACGTGTTTTAAATGGAAGTCATAAAGGCTGAGTTTATAAGCACTGTGGCCAAACTATCACCCGTTCATCAATGGTTGAATCATAATGTAAAAAATACCTATTATACTACGCATCTGAATAAAAAGACAGAGAGGGCAAAGGATTGCATGCAACAGTTTGGCAGACAACAGTTCCCGAACCCTCGCCACCACAATCGACTTACCCCTCCCCTACCCATCCCCCCCCACCCCCACCCCCTCACGGACCGCGCCGGGCGGCGGAGTCGGTGCGGCCCGGCGCCAGCCAATCAGCGGCCGTCCCAGGTGTGACGTCACAGAGCGTCAGCCACTGCCGAGCGCCGCGTCCCGAGCTTTCGTGAGGGGACGGGTTGGCTCACGGAGCTCCCACGTTCGGGAGGTCACGGGAACCGCCGCGATGGCAGCCGTTTCTGTGGCTGAACTATATAACCGCGGCTCTCTGGTCCCAGCACCAGAAGTCTCATTGAGAGCAACAGAGTACGAGCGACAGTGCGCTACACTGTTACTGTGCTAGCAGCGATATTAGCAGCGACAAATCGTGATTCGTGAAGTGCGTTATTTCGAAAGTTTCTGAAGACATTCACACGAAGATGGCTCCGACGATCGGAATAGACTTGGGCACGACCTACTCGTGTGTGGGCGTGTTCCAGCACGGCAAGGTGGAGATTATCGCCAACGACCAGGGCAACCGGACCACGCCCAGCTATGTGGCCTTCACCGACACGGAGCGGCTGATCGGAGACGCCGCCAAGGGTCAGGTGGCCATGAACCCCAAGAACACCGTGTTCGACGCCAAGCGGCTCATCGGCCGGCGCTACGACGACCCCAAGATCCAGCAGGACCTCAAGCACTGGCCGTTCACCGTGGCCAACGAGGCCGGCAAGCCGCGCATCGAGGTCGAGTACAAGGGCGAGCGGAAGCGGTTCACGCCCGAGGAGATCAGCTCGATGGTGCTGACCAAGATGAAGGAGACGGCCGAGGCGTACCTGGGCTCCAAGATCTCCGACGCCGTCATCACGGTGCCGGCCTACTTCAACGACTCGCAGCGCCAGGCCACCAAGGACGCCGGCAGGATCGCCGGTCTGAATGTCAAGCGCATCATCAACGAGCCGACGGCGGCCGCGCTCGCCTACGGTCTCGACAAGAAGCTCGGCGGCGAGAAGAATGTGCTCATCTTCGACCTGGGCGGCGGCACGTTCGACGTCTCCATCCTGAGCATCGCCGACGGCTCCATGTTCGAGGTGCTCTCCACGGCCGGCGACACGCACCTGGGCGGCGAGGACTTTGACAACCGACTCGTCAACCACCTGGCCGACGAGTTCAAGCGCAAGAACAGGAAGGACCTCAAGGGCGACGCGCGAGCCGTGCGGAGGCTGCGCACCGCCTGCGAGAGAGCCAAGCGCACGCTGTCCAGCAGCACCGAGGCCAGCATCGAGATCGACGCGCTCTTCCAGGGCATCGACTTTTACACCAAGGTGACGCGGGCCCGCTTTGAGGAGCTGTGCATGGACCTGTTCCGCGGCACGCTCGAGCCCGTCGAGAAGGCGCTCAGGGACGCCAAGAAGGACAAGGCGAACATCCACGAGATCGTGCTGGTCGGCGGCTCGACGCGTATCCCCAAGATCCAGAAGCTGCTGCAGGACTTCTTCAACGGCAAGGAGCTGAACAAGTCCATCAACCCGGACGAGGCGGTGGCGTACGGCGCTGCCGTGCAGGCGGCCATCCTGTCGGGCGACTCCAGCTCGGCCATCCAGGACGTGCTGCTGGTGGACGTGGCGCCGCTCTCGCTCGGCATCGAGACGGCTGGCGGCGTCATGACCAAGCTGATCGAGCGCAACACGCGCATCCCGGCCAAGCAGCAGCAGGCGTTCACCACATACTCGGACAACCAGCCGGCCGTCACTATCCAGGTGTTCGAGGGCGAGCGAGCCATGACCAAGGACAACAACCTGCTCGGCCGCTTCGACCTGACCGGTATCCCGCCGGCGCCCCGCGGCGTGCCCCAGATCGAGGTCACCTTCGACATTGACGCCAACGGCATCCTCAACGTCAGCGCTGCCGACAAGTCCACTGGCCGCTCCAACAAGATCACCATCACCAACGACAAGGGCCGCCTCAGCAAGGCCGACATCGAGCGCATGGTCAACGAGGCCGAGCGCTTCAAGGCAGAGGACGACGCGCAGCGCGAGCGGGTGGCCGCGCGCAACCAGCTCGAGTCGTACGTCTTCTCGGTGCGCCAGGCGGTCAACGACGCCGGCCAGAAGCTGGACGAGAGCGACCGGCGGCGCGTCACCGAGCTCTGCGACGACGCCATCAAGTGGCTGGACAACAACTCGCTGGCGGAGAAGGACGAGTTCGAGCACCGGCTCAAGGAGCTGCAGTCGGCCTGCAGCCCCGTCATGGCCAAGCTGCACGGCGCCGGCGGGCAGCAGGGCGGCCAGTTCGGCGGCGGACAGCAGGGAGGCCAGTTCGGCGGACAGGACAACCAGGGACCCACTGTTGAGGAGGTCGACTAAGGCGATTGTTGAACCAAACTACTAGGAAAGACGAGACCCTCCTTGGCGGTTTAAATTAGCAACTGTCATCCAAAATGCGCCCAGAAGCTTTCGCGCAAGCCTCCAACGCATAAGGCCAGTATTATGTTCTCGCCTCGTGTTATGGTTTGGAGTGGATGGCAGCTGGTCCTTACCAAGTTAGCGAAGCTGATTACTACGACGTCGCGAAGAAGCGATTTGTTCCTATTATCGTAATTCGTAATCATGCTTAGCAATGATGAGCTTACTACCGGAGGAGTATCCGATTGATACATATGTGCTCCATAACGTATTATTTCATTTGCAAGTGCTGTGATTGAGTGCTGTGAGTAGGTGATTGTTGTTTGCTAATAAACCAAATAAAATATTCAAGTGTTTGGAAGGGAGCTGTGATACGAGAGGGGAAAATCAGGCTTGGTAGCTCAGCACCTGTCCCGACTACCTAGATATCTGAAGGAATTGCTGAGTGCATAAGGAAGGACATAAGGCATGAGGAGGAGAGGCAGCAAAAAGAAGGTTCCGGGGATAATAAGCAGACTGATGACAAGACAGTGAACTGGGGTGTCGCGCCTGCATAATTTTTACGGACTATCTAGTACCCAACACCAACATATGGAATCACAGAGGCATGACACCACGAGCCAGTATGCGCATCGCGCAATTCCCATGATGGATTTATGTAGTTAACAACCATGCCACCGCTATAAAACGAAAATAAGTTGTCAGTATAGCCTCAATTGAAGACAATACCTAAGTTATTCGGGTGAAGATAAGATAAATGTGAATGCCTTTGGATACGAAGTAGTAAAACGTTTGATAAAAAGTGATAGTGGATAGTTTTGACGTGCATAGCAGTTTGAAGTCACAAAACATGTTTCAGCACAGCTCTGTTATCGGTTTGGACATCCTGAAAACACGCAGCTGACGGTGCATGCCATGGAAATATTAAGAATCGAAACAAAACGATGCACGATAAAAATACGATCAAGGATGAGAGCCAATTCTCATTTCCAGTGCTCGGAATTTACAATTTCATACGAATTTCATTTCATACGTACGGTAAGGCGAAATCATTATAGAGTTCAGTGGGCAAAATATATCAGGATCACGACTTGATTGCAAGAGGTATCTTTATCGTCATTGAGTCACAGCAGGGTGCGTAGTCACAGCAGGGTGAGTTCTTCCACGCCACTTGTGTGCATTAGCCGATCCACATGCTCCTATTTTTGAGTTCATTCATTTCATTTGTTTGATCAAGGTCGAGAAAATGGTCAACATCATATTACGAGAAAATGGTTTAATATTTATTGCTGTCCAATCGTTCCAGCTGGTTCAAATCTCCAACCTCAACCACGACATCCAATATGCCGACATTTCGTGCACTCTGCATCGTACAGAACACTCTGGATCCGACCTCCCGTCCCTCCCCTCACAGCGATCCCACTTGGGCTATCAACAGCCCCTCCCCCCTCCCCCCGCCATCCGGCCCCGACTCGACCCGGCTGGCTCGACGCCAGTCAGAGACTTGTGCGCAGTTCGCGACTATTCCCCGTTGGTTGAGACTTATGCTGCTGGTTATATAACAGTTTGAGTCATAAGTCACAGCTCTCTGGGGCTTGTTGATGTTGTTAATCAGAGGAAGACAGTGATTGGTTGGTTGGGGAGTTGTGATGCAATCCGTTGCACCATGAATAAGCAGGACGAGGGTGAGATAGGACCGAGTTTTCGGGAGGCGACAAGACAACAACATGGCGTTGAGGGGTGAGGCCTGAGGGAAGCTGAGGAAAGACTGATAAGGCTCAACGGCGCCGGTCTAGCGCTTATAGAAAATCTGTCACACCATTTCTAGAACATTCATGCCTTATCCGGGATTTTAGAATAGAAAACGGCAATGGACGTCGGGTGCATTGACTGAAATATACACATTCTAACCGAATACAAGATGATGAGGGCAATATCGCAGTCATTTACCTGTTCCCTAGCTCAGAATGCCAGGCCTCATGGCACTTTACTATCCACCAACGCACCCGCATCATTCCCAGCATCTAGATACCCAACCGACCCGCATCAAGAGGGATCTCCATCGACGGAGGAGCGCGACTGACCTTGGCAGTGGGGAAGCAGCCGGTGACCACCTCCAGGAACGAGGTGGACTCCCAGCGCAGAGTGTCCCAGCAGTTCTTCAGACTGTTGGGGCCCTGGTCACGGCTGCTGAGAGCCGACGAGGCCCGTGCCTGACAGCGGAAAATCGGTACAGTTAACCCAGCAGTCGAGAAGTTGTTTCGTAAAGCCACATCCAATTTAGTACGAGTTCAGTGCATCCAACTGATTAGTTTTGGACTACCATTTTGCAGGATATAACTGATTTATGAGCGAAGCTATGTTACTCAAGTTTTATTCCCCAATGCACGAGCTCAAGGACGCCCACGCCATGCTTACTTGGAGCGTTAGGAACATGAGATGAATCCAGGTCCGCGGGTTCTTGGTCTTCATGGGGTAGAAGGACTTGCTGTAGAGGCAGTATTCACCGTGGATCTGGCACACAAAGTGCAGCTTGGCCTGCTTTCGACTCTTTCGCTCTGAAAACAACAAAAATGGTTAACGTTTAAAAAGAAGCGGGAAACATTCAGCCAAAAATAGCTTCAGAGAAAACCTTCCGCCTGAAAATTTAACATTAAGCTTAACGCACACCCAAACTTATCAGTCATCTAACAATTACGAGACTACATACATATATTGTCACATTTTAACTTTCTCTAAAATGTTTACCGAAAGTTGATCGGAAGTCGACTCAGCCTCACTACCTTGCCGCACCTGCCCAGAGCCGCCCTCACTGACCTTCGATGGTGCACTTGACGGGCAGCGGCAGGCGCACCATCACCTTCTGCATGTACTCTTTGATCTTGTCCAGGTGCTTCTCGCAGAAATGCTGCATCGTGTCCCGCATCTGGTACGGCTCGAACACGCTGATTCGCTACGGAAAGAGACACATGCGAGTTAGACGGAACACTAGCAGCGCAGCACCTACAAGGAAAGTAACGCCATCTATCGGACCCCTTACCAGTCCAGCATTAGCCTACCGACTGGGTTCCTAAATGACCCATATAGTCGCCAGGTCCTGCTCTCCCATTGATAGCGACATACCAATATACAGTATCCAAGCCACCAGATCCTGGCCCTGCCTCCTACATACCTGTGTAGCAGAGGGCGGTGTCGGCTGCTGTCCGCCCGAGCTGATGAGAGTCACCGTGGTGTTTCGACGCTGTACCGGCGTGGCAGGCAGGGAGGTGGTCGAATGGGTAGGCACCGTGCCCGTGTGGTGGCTGGCACTGGCGCCCATCGGACCTGCCGCCAAGGAGAGATGTCATACAGAAGCCGCTCAAGTTCAGGGGTTGGCGCATTGATTCAGTCATCAGAACGTTCCATAGGCCTCTGTATACCGGTATACAGATTACAGAAGTCTATAGTTCCACCAATCTAGCGATATTATCGCTCGGAGAACGCCAAGGAATGCTCAACCAGCAGTCCTCCCGGTAGCAACCTTTCAGCCGCTTTCCACAAAACACATCTCAAAGGTATGTGCCCGGCTTTCACCCATCAACTGGTCTCACCAGGCGTTCGGCTGCGTGGAATGGTGGGCACAGAGCGCGGAGCCGCGGTCGGAACTGGCGCTGGAGCGGCGGACGGCGCGGCGGCAGCGGTGATGGCGGCGGGGGCAGTGGTTGTCGCCGGGGCGGGGGCGGCGGCGGGGGCGGCAGCAGAGGCGGCACTGACGACGGCGGCAGCCGCCGCGGTCACCGCCGCCACTGTAGCGGCCGGTAGCTGACGGGTGGAGCCATTGGAAGGAGAGGCTGCAGCCGTGGTTGGCGCTTCATCGGAGAGAGTCCCGGCGCTGGCGCTGGAACGGGCAAGGCGCGGGGAGAAACGGTCAGTCATGGTACCAACAGCTACACAGTTGAATTTAAACGAAGCTGCAGCGCCGATATCGAAGGAAAAGGTCAACATGAACAAGCTGATAGAATTGCGGTAAAAAGAGAATCGAAGAGCGAAACCAAAAACCGCGCGATCGCAGACATATTTACACAAACGCCACGTCCTAATGGCTGGCTGATTACTGCTACTCCACAGGAGCCACAGCGCCCCCATTGCCATCCTAACTCCTACCTATGTAGTTCCGTTCTAAAAATCCCTTCTCACCCTACTTCTGACTGTTAACTCTAACTCTAACTCTAGCCTTATTTCTACTCCTATCCCAACAAACTTCATCTTCTCCGCCCTTAGCTGACGAAGTTCTACCCACCTGACCGACTGCGGCCCGCTGACGGTCTCCGCTCCAGCGCCGAGTGTCACTGTCAGACTGTTGAGCGCCCGCTGGGAGGAGGGCAGCTGGCCGCGGGAGCCGGCCGGGAACCTACAGAACAGGCAGCGAAAGAGGTTAACATACAAGACAAAGACAATGATGCTGTAACCGATCTAATGAAAATCGGATGAAAAGTAGCCTGAATGTTACATTTTTACGGTTCTGCGACACCTGAGCGAATGTCATTTCAGCGAACGACATTTGAGCGAAACATTTTCAGCGGTTATCAATTTAAGCGATTGGCTTTTTCAGCGATTGTCAAGTCGGCGAATTCAGTCACAGCGATTATCAACTTAAGCGAGGACCAGAATCAGCGAAACCAGATTGAGCGAATATATGGTGGTCAGTGGGAGACCAATTGAGCGATGCAGTTACAGCGAATGACCGAACGCGACGAAAGTCAATCATTTGCTACTTTTCGGAAATTATTGCACCTCTTTACGCATCATTTGAATTTTGAAGACACATAGGTGTACATCGGACGACCAACAAGGGGTGCATGGGAGGGAAAGGAGACGGGCAAAATTTGAATTGAAAATGCGGAACGTGAGAGATAGGGCGACGGAACGAATGCCAAGGACCAATAATAAACTAGAGAGATGGCACAGGGGAATCCAGTCTATGTTTCAGGGACCTCACCCAAATATCTGGACATTCGTACGGTGCTTGGGGCAAGAACAAATTTTACAACATGGGGAACTGATCCAAATTCAAGCGGAGCAATTTCGCGAAGAATAGCACAAGCAATATGAATCTCTGAACAAACGTTTGGTCACCATTATTGACAAAGAGCAGGGTGGGGTGGGGTGAAATTGAACCGTTGGAATTTTTGACAAATTTAGCATTAAATTTGGAGCTCAATGTCTGACCTTTGAACGCGCGACATCCGCCATCCAGTTCCGGATAACCATGAGAAATTCCGGAAACATTCGTACGGATACGCTCGCAAAAGAAAAAAATCCACCGTTACAGGACGATGAAATGTTTCGCTGAACTGACAGTCGCTCAAATTGTAGTCGACGAATCAGATGTCGCTGAAACATAGCTTTCGCTAAAATTGATAATCGCTATATTTGATAATCGATGAACTTGATAATCGCTGAATTGCCATTCGCTGAAAATGGTTCGCTCAAATGACATTCGCTCAAATGACACTCGCTAAAGTCGCTCGCACCGCATTTTTACAGCTGAAGACCTAGTAAGCAGCTATGAAAATGGCAACGGATAGACCGATGAACCACAAATGCTAAAAATATACGTGAGTGCATGAGTTATAGGCCGTCAATGTTCGTAGATGAGTCCAGTGTCCACATGCTTTTCGTAATGCTCCCGAATCCGCAGAAAAGCCACGTCAGAAAGAAACACCTCAGACACCCATCCGTTCGGAACATTACGGGCGACACTCACCTGGTGATGAGCTGAGACGAGTGGTTGACCTGTGTCATGGACTTGTGCAGTGGCGCCTTCAGTCCGATCAGGGACGTGGACGCCGTGCTGGCAACTGCGGGAGAAAGGGTTATATGTGATGCGACTGGCTACAGCGTAGAGTACTCAACAACTTTAACTGATTACCCTCGACAAATATTTTGTTCGTGTGGTAAGAAAAGCGTTTCGAATTCAAAAATGAGAATCCAATGTTCCGTTACACGCATAAATTCATAGTGAAAATGGAATGCATTGGAAACTCTTCTCACTGAAATCCGCCTAAGCAATTACAACTTAATATCATCCCATTAGTCCCACAGAACCGAACTCCCCTAGCTCTTCCCCCTTCCCAGTCACCCCAATCACTCACTGGTGCGGCTTTGGTTCAGTCGCGGCGTGGATCGGCTCGAGTCCCCCAGTTTCCTGAGCGGGTCCCGCGAGGCCAGCAGGTCTCGTGAGGAGGTCGACCACAGCTCACGACTGCCACCAGAGCCCACCTTCACGATGGTGACACAGTTGTCGTCCGAAAGACGTCTGAGAATGAAAAAAGGAGAGAGTTCAGCTGGATAGGCTTGAAAGTGAGCGGTAGACATACGATTCTTATTGCATTTGATGCATAACACTACGTAATTGATGAAGGCTGGATGCTATTTACCGTTGCGCCGATAAGCGGCATATGTTGTGGAACACTCTCAGCTGATGTTGCATTACGTTGGAATGATACAAACAAGTGCACTATCGATCGCGTTCATGTTGGTTTATTGCAGGACATCATGCAGAAAGCATGATGACTACCTACTGATTTTATCACTTCAGGAAGCTACAAGGACACTCAGGTAGGCACCGCAATAACAGAACCATCTCTTACTTTCCAAACCAATCAGTTTCACTCAGCTCCTCCCTCCATCTCATCCCACACCGTCCAGAAACAGAGGCCGCTCCACCCACCTGGAGGCCTCCTCTGTGCTGAGATATAACCGGGGCTTCTGTACGGCCGCGGCCAGGTCGGGCTGCTGCTCCATGTCCCGGAGCAGGGCCGGAGGTAGCAGCGTGGGGTGACACGCCACCAGCTGACGCACCTCCTGGCTCAGAGCGTGCACACTCACACAGTCGGAGACACCAGCCCGCGTCAGCAGGAACAGCAGCAGGTCACGCGCCACGCTCTGGAAAAGAGAAAGAGAATGAGTGGTTGGTTGAGTTTGAAGCAATGGTTGAACTATAATCGGTTTAATGAATGTGTGATGTAACTGCACAAAAGTTTAGCGGTGCCTGCACAGTGCGCTGAGCCCTGCTTAACTTCTAAATCACTTCAAGCAGCGCCCACTACATCCCTCCTAGTACGCCCGCCCCTCATACGCATGAAACTCCCACACATCACTCCAAGTCCGTACCCTGGTGGTGCGCTGTCCGAAAGCCACCAGCACGGGCAGCACGTGCGGCAGCGCGGCCGGCTGGTTATCCACCGTCAGCTTCAGCTTGTTGACGTGCTCGGCCATGGTCTGCGGCGCCGCCACGGTCATGGTGACCAGGACCTGGGCGGTGGCGGCGGCGATGGCGGGCGAGCACAGGTACTCACAGAGCTGTGGCACGGCCGACTTCAGCAGCTGGGGCGGACACACAGGGAGGAAAGGGTGTCAAAAACGTATGGTGGCACTGGCAGAGTATCGCGCGTAAGGATTATTGTTATTTGAATGAATTGCTGATCATTGACTAGAACTCAGCTATTGTCATTGCAAATGAAGTGCGAATAGAATGGCACGAACTGCTAATAATCAATATCTACACTTTACCAGTCGCATATCTAGGGGTGCACACAGATACCGTAACACACACATTGACCGTAACAATAACACGCGGATTACCGAAACAGCCACATCCCCTGGAACAAGCAACTCTCCAAACAGCCCTACCACACGACCTCCATCCCCATACCTGCGGCTGTTGTTTGGCCATGAGCTGGAACAGGTCGACGATGGCCAGCCGCTCCTGGCCGAGGCAGAGCGGCATCACCGACACCAGCGTGCCCATGTGTCTGTTGAACCTCTCCGGCTGAAGACGGTACACGGGCGGCAGCACCTGCGTCAGCTGGTAGTTACCTGTGGACGGAGGGGCCAGTGGTTAGAGAATTAGTGGGGCCTGGGGCAGATAATGGTAGTTACCTAAGGGAGGAGGGATTAATGGTTAGAGAAGTGCGGCCTGGGGCTGGAAGTGGAAGTTACTTGGGGCGATGAAAGAGGGGTCGGGAGGTACGAAAAGTGCGGCCAGAGTCAGTTGGTAGTTTCCTAGGATCAGCTTCCCCAGCAACTACCAGCTTCCCCAGCACGCGGGGAAGCTGGTAGTTACCAGGGACGATCGCGCAGGGACAGGGTAGTTCAAGAACACGGCCTGGGTTAGCTCATTGTATGGTCCCATGGCAACATAAAGATGAGAGGGTCAGACGCGGATAACATGCATCAACTCGCAAGCACTTGCTGCTGTACTTATATGCGATAACATAGGCCATAGGGGGTATCAGAGACAAGCCACTCAGCCTGCCACCTAGTGGTTACTTGGACGTTGATAAAGGATGGATCTGCTGCCACGAGTTATCCCATTCAAAATTATCAGGATATCGGATATCAGTCACCACAGCTCCAGTGTCTCCACATACCTGTCGCGATGCTATCCATAAGGTTCGGCACGTAGTCAGCCAGCAGCTGAGCGTTTTCGATGGCAACCAGAGACAGGTAGGCGGCCAGGTTTCGGCTCAGCTCCCGACTGCCTTTGACGAAGAACTGGACGGCCACGGGGATGGCGAGCTCCATCACCGACTGGCGGCTGTAGTTCTGTCGGAGTACGGAGGGTCGGTGGGTGTCGGTGTGGTAATCACGGCCATAGGGCGCCGAAACGCGACGGTAGCTTTATTGGGCGTCGAAAGGCGACTGTAGCTTTATTCTAAAGTGTTCGTTTTAGCTGCGATTCTGAGACAATCATGTTGCAGGCCACTACGGGATCCAATATTTAGTGAGTCAATTTCAAAGCATGACAAGGACGAAAATATGAATTGAAATATAGCATGCCGCTGCGTCACGTTACGTGCAAGACATTCCTGCAGCTGTCGGAAAAAATTATTGGACCATGTTACAACTTCCGCGCTGCTGAATTCTTTCAGCTCCGTAACTTTCCTCAATTCCATTGATCTCTAAACCCACTGATCCTGCCAAACAGGCCAGACTACGGCGCTTTCAGTGCACTACCACACCACTGGCACCGGCGTCTCGTCCTTACCAGAAACAAGCAGGCAAGCACATCTGAGGCCATCTTGGCGTGCGGCGGGTCTTCATCGCGATCAGACGGCTTCAGGTCGTGCTGTAGACAGGAGTCTAGTAGACGGACCAGCGCCGCCGCGTGCCCCTCAATCGTTTGCGTGTCCCTGGCAAACAGAAGCGGGCAGGGATGAGGCGCAGATAAGGTGGGGAGACCAGAGGAGACAGCGACAGGAGTCAAGTGGGAGGGCACGGGGATGCGGGTGGTTGCCAACAATGGTGAGCCGGAAATGTCATTAACATGGGTACTGGATAGCAATATAGGGACGTAGTGCAGCGCGCACAACAGTGCTGTCGAGTACCTATGACTAGATTTACATCGACCATGATATCGTGAAAGAGCGTTTATCCTCTTCAGGATTTTACCGTAGTTGGTTGGACGGATTTCTAAGGGAGCCTAACTAGCTTAGGGGCTTCTAGGAAAGATTGTGACAACTGGCATTCGTAGACATCCAATTAATTTCAGACAGCACAACCATGGAGGAAAATGAGACGCCAAAGGTCTGCAAACAAGCACGGCTGCAAACAGCTGCAGGCTCTGTGTTTTCGTCTGCATAGTATCCACAGTCTGCACCGATTACGGAAAAGCTTCTTTCCTTTAGGTATAACTTCACTGCTCGTTCCTCCGTTACTACAAAACGTGAATTTTGTTGCTCGTTCTTCCGTTCCTTTCCGTATGGCTAAACGGAAAATAATAAGTTGGAGCAATCGCCACGCAATCTGATAATGTGGATCGCTGATCATTGTTCAATACAAAACTCCGCTACAACATAAAAATACGCTGTTACCGCAAACTACTATTTTTTTTTTCATTTTGGGCCAGCTCATGTCCAGTGGGTCATCAGTTGCTGCCGGGTGGCTGGAGTCGGTTTTAGACAGCGTTAGCAGTGGCGACCTCAGGCATCGCTGAATGTGCCCCGTTTTGTCCGTTCTCTGAGTTGTGTGGGACGCTGAGTGCGCCACTGCGTAGCCCTCGGGCCGCCTGGTCACGTGACCGTCTGGCTGATCCGGACACGCCTAAGAGCTGGACTTTTTGATGACGTCTTCGGGTGACGTCATGTCGTGTGTGACGTTTCGTGAGCAGGTAAGGAAAAGTCACCACCGCTGGCGAACAATTGGTGCTGTAAATGGCAAACACAAATGCTGCGCAGAAAAGACAAATGTGTAACTTCAGACAACATTCGTTCGGACGACAATGTCTAGGCGAATCAAGAAGTTCTTCATGCGATTGTTAGTTATCTGTCGCAAGGCCCTATATACCATCTGTCGTGCTATTTTAGTATGATTGTTATTAGCAGTTGATTTGTGAAATGTATTATCAAAATCAATGTTTATTGAACGCAGATTCAGTTTATTTTCAGATGTACCTAGGTACCCTTACACTTCACTCATCTCAAGCTGTTCAGACACCCTTGACAAAGTCGAAGGGTGGGTATAATGAAACGTTGGGTATAATTTATACTGTGTTTTCTCTGCATTATTAACATATTCATCATATATACAATATAAGGGCCACATGCTTTTTACAGGGAGACATGTCAGACAGCCCAGTAGGATGAGGCTTCGTCAAGCGTCATTTCTAGCAAAGCTTTTCTTGCTTAAAATCCAGTCTGCAAAACATGGCAGGGCTTACACTTTGGCTTACACTTGACTCCCAGCTGTTGTGTCTTTGCTATGCGATGTTAAACATAAAGAACATCTTACTATTCATGTATGCGCCATGACTCATGTAATCTTTTCACAGCCAAGACGCTCCTAAGGTACTGGGAATGTGGGGAGTGCAGCAGCATCAGTGCAGCACCGATGGTCGGATGCGACGGCTGCAATAAATGGTACCACTTCCGTTGTGCGGGACTGACTAAGGAGCCAGGTAAGCGCAAATGTTTTCTGTCTCAGTATTCTTGTTGCAGCTATAGTGATCAATGAAATATTTTCCGCACTGTTCAGCCAAACATGTATTTCAAACAATCTGCTTCCCAACCAAGGGCGTCGCCACAGGGGGGGGGGGGGGACGGAGGGGATCTCGTCCCCTCCACTTTTTAAAATTTTAACATTACGCCTATGGCGTTGCATGGAAAGAATCGACTTGAAATGGTCCTCGTCCCCTCCAAAATGGTCTATGTCCCCTCCAGTCGTCGCACTGTGGCGTCGCCCATGTTCCCAACTACACAAATTTAGTCAAACAATGTGCCAATATGGAATTTTCAGGTTCAGTTGAATGAAATAGGAACAATGATAATTGTAGATTACGTATACCTGCAAGAGAGGAAAACAGAATACATTGTATTGCTTGTCCTTCACCGATGCTGTTATTTTTCCATTTCTAGAAACACCGACATGGCGATGCAGGTAGTACTGCCTGGTGAGGCCGCGGTCTCCGGAATCGCCTGCAGACGAAGTCACCTGGCGTCCATCTGCACATCACTTGCAGCAGTGAGGCCTGCTGACAGCGTCTGGCAGTGTCGGCAACGTGCCAGCCAGCTATCTGGAGTCCTGCTCACCGCAGGTCGCCGACAGGAGGGGCGACGCATCGTCTCCGAGGTCGCCTCAGCAGCAGTGAGACCCCACTGGCCGTCTTCTTAGGCTTCAACTAGATTGCGAACAACCTATGCTGAGACAACGCCCATGACGTGTGATCCGGTACCGCTACCGCACTGCGTGCCTGTGCCCGCCGTGAGCCGCTAGTGCATGGGTTCGACCATGAGAATATGTGTTTATGTTGCTTTTACTATTGTTTATACGTTGGAGTGACGAATTGTTTATTTTTCGCAAGCCTCCGCTGTCCGGTTGCCTGCAGCTCCATGCAACGCCAGCTGTACTGTTGTTTTAATGTTGTCTCTCCGCTCAGCTGTACTGTTGCCTCTCCGCTCATAACAACCTATGCTGAGACAACGCCCATGACGTGTGATCCGGTACCGCTACCGCACTGCGTGCCTGTGCCCGCCGTGAGCCGCTAGTGCATGGGTTCGACCATGAGAATATGTGTTTATGTTGCTTTTACTATTGTTTATACGTTGGAGTGACGAATTGTTTATTTTTCGCAAGCCTCCGCTGTCCGGTTGCCTGCAGCTCCATGCAACGCCAGCTGTACTGTTGTTTTAATGTTGTCTCTCCGCTCAGCTGTACTGTTGCCTCTCCGCTCATAACAACCTATGCTGAGACAACGCCCATGACGTGTGATCCGGTACCGCTACCGCACTGCGTGCCTGTGCCCGCCGTGAGCCGCTAGTGCATGGGTTCGACCATGAGAATATGTGTTTATGTTGCTTTTTATACTATTGTTTATACGTTGAAGTGACGAATTGTTTATTTTTCGCAAGCCTCCGCTGTCCGGTTCCCTGCAGCTCCATGCAACGCCAGCTGTACTGTTGTTTTAATGTTGTCTCTCCGCTCAGCTGTACTGTTGCCTCTCCGCTCATATATGACACCCTCTATATGAATGGCACTACTGATTGTCACACCCACTGTCCGTATTGTCCGTAGTGGTGTCTACGCCCATGTTAATACAGCGTGCAGAATCCAGATTCTATTGAGGAGAGTTGAGCCAAGTCACCATAGGCTCGGGAAGAGAGCAACGTGGAGGCCCACTGCCCCTTCCCCGGCCTCCACTGGGGGCGCCAGCCACTCCAACTTTTGACTGGATGTCAAGAGCGTCGCCACGAGGGGAACGAGTCGCCGGCCAGCCAAGGTAGCCAACGGCGTGTGAAGGTTGCCTGACCTCGAGGAAACTGAGATGGCACCAACGGAGGTTTTGTTAAGTAGGCGACCAAAATTCGAGCGGCAGCAACCTGGGCACCTTCACAGATAGCAGTGCCGCGTATCAGGGCGCCTTCGACGTTGAGCTGGGCGCCGATCATCAGGACGCCGGGGGAATATGACCTAATATCCCCCGTAAATATGTGCCTCGGAAGGGAGACCCAACCATAAAACTGAAAGCTCGCCGTATTTATCCACTATTTTTCGAGCAGGTCCATAGATTTCCGTCCTCAAAAGTGCGGGGATATTCCCCAGTGTTTGAGTTGGATGGGACTATAGTGGCGTTTACACCGACAGGAGATTCCCATTGCCGGCTGTGGGAAACTACTGTCGGTGTAAACGCCATTCATATTTCCTACGTCACCCCTGTGGGGACGCCCTTACTCCATGGTGCCGACTGCCGAGCTTATCAATTTGGATATCAATGGAATCAAAATCTCTTATCGATCGATGAAGAACTAAATTACCCCGACCCGGAGAGCGTCTTTGGAATCAAAGCAGTAGCACATGACGCAAGACTTCAGGCAAATAAGTCCTTCTTGTCTGAAATAAAACATTTGTGTATTGATAAGCACGTTTTATAAGCAATGGCAGCAAGATTCTCCATGAATTTGGTTAAAGTGATAATTTAGTAGCAGATACTTACCGTCGCATTTCGTTTTTTTAATTAATAATTTATATTGTCAGAACTAGCAACATGTCTCTTCACTCAACAATAATTACAAAAGTGAAAAAGAAATGATAAATTGCTTATATTTTGGTGAAACTAAAAATTAATTCAGCACATATTTTTTTTTACAGCGTTGAAGTCCAGCTCCAAAGGACAGCTGACGATCGTAGCCGAGCAGGCTGTTTGGTACTTCTTCACTACTTCTTAGAAGTACCCGTTAGTACCGATCATGTCTCACATAATAAGCTATTGGAACAAAAATATCCATGTTCTTCTAATTATTCTCCTCTCACACTTTCAATAAATACGCCCGGTTATATATAACAAGATATAACCGGTTTTTCCGCGACACTACGAGCGTCTTCTCTGGGGCGGCCCCGGAGCCGGGCCGGCCTCGGCGAGCAGCGTTCGGCGGCAGGCGGGCGGCCGCCCGCGCCCCGGGCGGCAAGGCTGCTGAGGCGGCGGCCTCCTCTGATTGGTGGAGCGACTCGTGTCACGTGATGGTGGCGGCGCGGGGTTTGAGTGTATATGCGCGGTCACTCTGTTCTAGGCCGCCCGGTCTGACGCAAGTCAGCAGTGTTCTCGCTCTGAAATGTTTTTGCGTTTACTCCGGTCGTGTTCAGTGGAAACTGGAAGACATCAAGGGGAGTATAAGTTCGGTTTTATATCAATGTTATATTG